ATATTCTAAAATAGAAATATATTGAAGGTTTCAAATTCAATCAATTTTGGAATATTATTGGTCATATAAACTCAGGACGAAAGAGACATGTAATGATGTAAATAATTAAAAGCGCATTATACAAGAGGGAAGGGCCTTCATTCCGTTGAAACAAGAATAAGGCTATGTATCTTCGTTGGAATCATTGTTGAACAACAAAGTTTTATTTTTGAAAAAAAGACTTTCACTACGGAAATGTGCACAATGCGCGGTAGTGCTGCCGTGGTCCTTGAGAAATCCTTTAGGATACCGCAATGTAGAAAAGAGAGGACAATTGAAGGAATATTGATGAAAGTATAAACGAATTTTTTGAGTTTTAACCGCAAAAATAACTACTACTCGTACTTATGAGTAATGAGTCAATTCATGGCGTGGATTAACTTAGTTGGTTAAAACATGTTGATATTGAGACTAATCTAACTAGATTTTATTTACTCCGTATTAAGCATTTCCTTCTTGAACCTTTTCCTTTAAGCGCACCCTCCTCTTTCTAATGGACCTGCTCCACTGGAAATGACTAAGGTGAGGGAGGAAAGATCAAAGTACCGTAATGGGATGATTCTAACCTTATATTGGACCAGCATGTGTAAAGACTAAAAAAGGCTTGGCCACCCATAACCCATGATATTCATTTCTTTTAGAATTATTTGTTAGAAATTACTTAATAAAACACAAATTTTGTGTAAAACTACTAAATGAAAAAAATGTTGTAGGAAACTACCTAATTAATAAAAGGTAAAGGTAAAATGTTGTAAGTTCCGAAAGGTGTTTGAGGTGGATCAACGCCAAAAACTTAGGTCAACGGTGGAAATCCGACCGGATGTATTATCTTACAACTTTTTTACCTTTTACTCGTATTAGGTAGTTTCTTACAACATTTTTTTTAATTCGATAGTTTACCACAAAATTTGGGTTTTAGTGGGTAGTTTCTTCCAAAACAAAAATTAAAAATAAATTAAATAAATAAATAAATTTTTATACAATGCAAATATTTGATATTTTATTTTTACTCAATGTAAAAGATATACGAAGTAATTAACATAATAAGAGCACAAACAAAGGAGGCTTTTACTTATTTGCATTTTGCACCACAAAATAAATAAATAAAAAATAAATAAGAAGTTATGAGCTGAAAAAGTGCTGAACCCTCTTAGACATTACAGTAATACAAGTAGTAGTTAATTTTTAGCTTATTTAGAATTCTAATTCTAATTATGTAAGTTGTATAATGTATGTCAAAGCTAAGTACTCTCTCCGTCCCATATTATAGTTCCTGTTTTCCTATTTAGGAGACCCAAAATGTTGTTCCTATATGTATTTTTGGATAGTATGTAAAGATTATTATATCCTCATTTTTTTAACTTTATTCATTGAACTTTCTAATTAACCTGTAAATTATCCACTTGTCTTGTACTTTTTTCCATTTTCTCTCTCTAACTTTTGTCTATTATTGTACCTTTTATTTTTTCCCTCTTAAATTATCCACTTGTCTTATACTTTTGTCTAGCTTTTTCCACTTTTAATGTACTTCATCTACAAACTCCTCCCATTTTTTAAATACTGTGAAAAAACACAAAAAAACTATATATTGAGACGAAGGGAGTAGTAGATTAAATACGTTAATATTAGGAAATATCATATTTATGATACTTAAGGTGGCAAATTAATAAAAAAAAAAATTACATCTAGTGTAATCTATTTTAGATAGTACGAGTAGATAATGTATTGATCAATGTGATCCATTGCACAGGTTCAAATGGGGTAGCTGGTTTAATGTACCCCGAGTCTAAGGAAGAGAAGGTAGTCAAGCTCGAAAAAGGAGATACAATAGTTGTACCAAGTGGTGTTGTTTCATGGTGGTTCAACGCCGGAAATGATGAACTCAAAATCATATACTTAGGTGAAACACATAACGCTATCAACCCAGGTAACTTCACTTACGGCTCACTAGCCGGAGCTATCGGAATTTTAAAGGGTTTTTCAAACAAAACTATAGCCAATGCTTATGGCATTAGCAATGAACAAGCGAACGAACTAGTTAATACCCAAAAAGAAGCATTGATCTTGAAGCTTGAACAAGGGTTGACCATGCCTAAACCATCCAACTATGATTTGACCAAAGAATTCGACGAGGGTATACCGCATTTTCAAGTTAAAAAGGGGGGCTCTATAAGATTTTTGACAAGTGAAAAGCAATCTACACTTGAAGGAATCAAGCTTTGTGGTAAGCTTTTGAAGCTTGATCCAAATGCTATGTTTGGACCAATTTACTATGCACAAGATTCAGGGGTTGAGCTAAGTTATGTTACTAAAGGAAGTGGTTGGGTTCAAATTGTGGGATTAAATGGACAAATTGCATTGGACACCAAATTAGAGGCTGGTCAGTTGTTTGCTGTCCCAAAGTTTTATGTGGTTGCGGTTGGTGCTGGTGAGGAAGGAATCGAATGTTTCTCCATTGTGACAACTTCCAAGTAAGATTATGTTTTCCTCGCTTTACATATATACGTTCTAGTTGCAACGATTAGTTTTTCTTCAACAAAAATAAATTAAGTTCGGTAAAAATATATCTTTGTGAATAATAGCACGTAACATTTTTTATTTCTCGATGTAAATTAAAACACATTAAGAAGCCCTTATCACAAGTTGCGTAACAATATCTTTGTGATTGTTGATGATGCAGGCCTATACTCGCTCAAATAGCTGGGAACATGTCATTTTGGAAAACCATGTCTCCTCAAGTACTACAAGCTTCTCTCAATGTTAGTCCCAAGTTCTGCGAATTGGTCATGGACAAGATTGAGAACACAACCATCATTATGCCACCAAATTGAGAGTTTTATTCGAGAATGAACCCTCCATGAGTAATTGAGTATGCTATGAATATGACTTAGCTTGTATGAGAATCATCTAAATAAACTATCAATATAATGAGTATGAGCTTGCTTCTCCTAAGGTTCTTAATTAGGAATGATGCACCAAGACATGGATATGAAAATCATTTAAATAATTTTACCGTTTTTTGTAATTCTCAAATAAATATTATCGTCCATCTATTCTCAAATAAAAAAACATGATCTAAATAATATATCATCATTATTTGTTTTTGTCAATGTTAATAAGCTACATGATTTATTTCCTTTCAAAAAAAAAAAGCTACATGATTTATTTTATTTATAATATGTTTTAATTTTTCTATTCAATTATTTAATAGTACTTATAAAGTATATTTTATTCACAAACTATTGGGTGTGGCAATTTCGATCTATTCAATTATTTAATAATACTAATAAAGTATATTTTATTCACAAACTATTGGGTGTGGCATGCAGTTTCTATTCTATTATTTAATACTACTAATAAAGTATATTTTATTCACAAACTATTGGGTGCGGCAGTTCGCACCCAATAGTTCGTGCGGCGAGAAGGTAGCGGCAGCGGCACTCCATCCTTCCACCACCTGCAAAATCAAACACATTGAACCACAATCCAGATCTACATCCCCAAAATCCCCAAATAATACTAAGAAAAAACGAAATCCTCAAAATCAAAATAAATCACAAATTAAAACAAATAAATAACCCTAAATCAAAGAAAAAAAGAAAAAAAAAACCTTTACAATTGGAGGTCCTAATGGCGCGGCGTCAGTGGTTGGTGGGTTCGGCTGGAGTTGTGGTGGTTGGTGGTGCGGTGGGATCGGTGGGGTGGGGTGGCGTGAGGATTGGTGAGTGGGGTTTTAGTGAACCGCCATTGAAGTGGAGGAGAGAGAGTGGTGAAGGAGATGAGGAGGAGGCGCCATTGACGGGTGTTTGGAGAAGGTGGAGTTTGGTTTGATTTTTGTTTGTTTTTTGTAATGGAATAGCTTATACTTTATTTTTTTGTTGTTAATGAGCATATCAGCCAAGAGGAGAGAGAAGGAAATGAAAGTATATTGTATGTTGTTAATCATATTAGCCAATAAATGACGCATATCAGCCAATTGATGTCTGATATCAGTCAACATTAAGGACATATCAGACATTAATAAAAACATATCAGCCAACAAAAGGAATATATCAGCCAACAAAAGATACATATCAGCCAACAAGAGAAATATATCAGCCAACAAAAGGTACTTATCAGCCAACAAAAGGATGAAATTAAATCAACCAACAAAATGAAACATATAAGCCAATAATTAAAATATACATATCAGCCAACAAAATAAAGATATCAGCCAAGTAAAGAAACATATCAGCCAACTGATGTTTGATAGCAGCCAACAAAAGGAACATATGAAAAATTAAAAAAAAAAAAAATAAATAAAAAATAAAAACATATCAGCCAACAAAAGGAATATATTAGCCAACACAAAAACCATATTAGCCAACACATGAAACATATCGGCCAACAAGTGAACTATATCAGCCAAGCCTGCCGCACACAAATTTTCGTGCGGCAGTCCGCACCCAATACCTTCTCTATTTTACTAACTTAAATTAGCCTAGTAAAAGAGAGAAAAGGAGAGAAAATGCAATCGATTGATGATTTATTTCTTAATAGTTTAGGTTCATGAAATGATTAAATTTCCAAGAACATATATGGAAAATTGCTTCTTATGTATATAGGCAATTTATTTGGTATGTACAATGTAAATTTCCTAGGGTATAATTTAGGGGCATCGTGCGGTGAAATCTAATTTTTTGTATTTTTGTGGGTGTTTAAATAAAATAGACGAAAAAACAGGTGGTTATTACAAGAAGGTGTTTTGAAGGGTGGTAAAATACAATTAATCCTATTAATAATTCACTCTAAATTGTAAGGGTAATAGTAATAAGCAACTAACTATCATCGATAGTTGATACATTCAAAGCAAAATTTCTTATTGACACGAGAAAAATTGGTCGTTAAAGGAAAAATATACGTAAATCATTAGAGAAACATATACATAGTAAAATGTAAGAGAAAACAAACATCATAAAACATCGAAGAAAAAATATTAGGAACATTAATTAATACAAAACAAAGGAAGTACAACTAAACACAACCTTAAGATACAACAACAATAAACCGAATTCAGTTACATTGAAATACAAACAAGCTACATGGCCAACAATTTCTTCATCTACTAAATTAAATCAATTGTTCAATAAATAAATCTATATTTTTGCTTGAAGATCCATCAGCTTCTAATGCATTTCCTAATATTTTCCTTATGACATCAATATTTTCCCTCAACTCGTCTCTTTTTTCTTTACTCATAAATATCTTAATTTGTGATGCAATCTCCATCCTTTTTAAAGGTTGTTTGTTGCCAAAATTAATCCCAACCTTCCAATCATCAACCACTAATTTCCGATTAGTAAATTGATCAGTAAATATTGGAAAACACAATGTCGGAATTTTATACCATATACTTTCTAACACAGAATTCCACCCACAATGTGTTAGGAACCCACCAATGGCCGGATGAGATAAAACCACGATTTGGTTGGTCCAAGGAACAATGATCCCACGACCACTAATGACTTCCTCGAACCCAACGGGCAATAGATCAGCCTCGTGAAGCACTGTACGTGGGCGAAGCACCCAAACAAAATCAACATTGCTTTCAATAAGACCATAAGCAATTTCCATAACATCATCTTTTGAGATATTAGCAATGCTACCAAATGACACGTACAAAACTGAACCATTAGGCTTGGGCCCTAGCCATTCTAAGCAACTAGACTCGGTCCACAGACTTGTTGGCACGGCATGGTCCGGTGACACGGGTGGAAAAATTGGGCCAACCGCGTAAAATGGCATGAGTGCTTGTAGGGCTGAGATAGTGTCCAACTCGAGCTCTTGCACGGTGTTACAAAGCACATAGTCTGCTTGTCTAACATCTTGGTATGCTTGAAAAATTAGCTTATGCATGTTTGTTGAGACGTCTTTATCTTGGAGATATGACATTAGGTCATGTGGTTCAATGGATTGTACTCCTGGTATGTAATCAATTGGATCCTTCCGAGTATCTAGTTGTCATTGTTGGCAAAAAAAAGTTGAAATATCAATTTATGTGGTGGTAGTAGTAGTTAGTCCTATTCTCAATTTTTGGTAACATTTGAAATTAGAGGAAAAAGATATTGTACAATAACCATTTTAGAGAGTAGACACCACATAGTAAGGACGTATGCTAGTTTGAGACGAGTAATCCTTCTCATAATTGCTTTATAATAACGAATTTGACGAAGTACTCACGCTAACAGGAAACATTTTTCTTCTACGAAACTCATGCTAATAAAATAATTTATTGTTAAACATGTTTAGCTAAGAGTAGTCTTATAGTGCACAGATGATTTTACAACGGTCATTTGAAAAATGACTATCATATTATTTTAATGATATATAATATGATCGGTTCATTTTTTCACGTTATAAAATTGCCATAATTAGTCTTATAATATCTACAATGTAAATATAATTTTTGAAAATTTTAGTCCAACATAAAATAAATATTTTTTGAAATACTATAAAATAAGAATAAAAACTACATAAATGAAACTAAAAATTTGATAAATCATAAAAATGTTGATAATACTAATTAATACCATTAATAAAGTAATATAATTATTTATTTGGAAAAAAAATATGTTAATTACAACTATATAATCATTAAAACATTATGGTAGTCATATTTCAAACGATTAGTATAAAATTTTCATATAGTGCACTGTGTGCACATGAGTGGGGACACAATGCATCGAAAAAGTTTATTTTCTGTGAGGACAATTATTGGTCCTTGATGCACATTTCATGATAATATATTCCACCTAATTTGGGTTTGGATTGTTAAATAATCCGAAAAATTATCCTTTCAAAAAACAATCATGCAAAAATTGCAAAAAAAATTAAGCAACGCATGTATATAATTAGATAGAGATAAAAAAAATTAAAAAAAAAATAAAAAAAAAAAAAAGAATTCCCGTCAAAAAAAAAAAAAGGGTTACCTGGGCAATCAAAGTGGCCATGCTGTTTAAGTAGATTAACATGATAATAAAGATTGAAAACCAAAGCAGGCTCAGTCCAAAACGAAGCCAACCGAAGCCCAAACTTCTTAGCAATCTTAGAGGCCCAAGGATAAAATGTGTCAATAATTAACACATCAACTTTGGGCTTTGACTTTAACACTACCTCCTCAATTTCCTTCTCCACTTGGTCAAACATGCCACCATCCAAGTACCACCCTACGAACTCCTCCAACTTACCCGTACGATCAAATTCCAAGGGCAGCCCATCGGAAAACACCCGATATCGGATGTCAACCGCATTGGGCCCTTGTCGTACTCGAGAAAATATATTAATATGGGAGTCTACGCAGGGACGGGCTCGAGTTATATCTTGGTGAAGGAATTCAAAGGTTAAGAAAGTGATAGTGAAGTTTTTTGATGAAGCAAGTTTTAGTGACAAATTGACTGCTGGATTTATGTGACCTTGTAGTGGTAGAGGGAAGATTATTGCATGATGTTTTTTAACATTAGTGTTTTTTGCTTCCATATTTTATTTTTTTTTGGGAGTGTTTTTGTGGCTGAAATTATAAGTGATGGAAGATTTAAGATACGATTAGTTAGCAAATTTGAAGATATATATAGAAGAAATATTAGCCGTTTCTTTATTTTTTTTACTGTTTACTTTTTAAGAGTGAAAGCTAAAGAGTATATTAGGCCCTGTTCTTTAGAGCTGCTTTGCTTTACTCTGGATTAAAAATAATAATTAATAATATCTTTAAAATAAATAATTAATATAACAATAATAATAATAATACTTAATAATTCACAATAAAAATTATTAATATTTATAATAATATTAATTAATAATAATTTATAACAATTTCTAAATATATATTAATCATAATAATAACACATAATATTTTTTCCCGAGGGAATAATAATACTTCATATTTAACAATAATACTAAAATATTATTTTATTCGGATGCATACGCTTGGCATACCAATCATTCAACATGATGCGAATATAGAAGTAGCAGATTCAACTATGTTTGCACAATGGCGCAAAGATAGTACGGCCAAAGTGCAACACCGTATAGTACGCCGAATTTGGAGGGCTAATCGATCGGAAAGCGACAATGAAGGTGATGACAATGTAGATCAAAGCGACAATGAGGATGATGAAAGTGAAGATCATATGGAAGTAGATGGTTAATTCACCACGATATTAAACTCTTATCTAATTATGTTCCTATTTTGATATGTAGTTGTAATAATTTGAAGATGTTAAACTATTGTCTTTTATCTTTCTACTATTAACATATATTAAAGATGGTACACATCTATTTATGTTTTTATTCACCTAAATCAATGATATGCACTTAATAATAATAATAATAATAATAATAATAATAATAATAAAAATAGTATTACCGAAATTTACTCTGCTATGTCAGAAGCTCAAATAACAGGGTCTTTGATCATTGGCAAATACTTGTACTATATTATGATGAAAACATTAGAAAAAGCTTACTTGTAGTCTTGTATATGTTGGGAAATGTCACTAACGGTTAGGTAAGGTTCACGTGATCTCAATTTTCAATACGTTTGGTTTAATTTGTTTGTCTTTTCTTACTCCTTCCTTCTTCAAATAGAAGTTTCATTTATCTTTTACCATTTTGTTTTAGAATATTGAAAAATATACTATATTAAAGAGTACCTCCTTTTTATATTATGTGTGACAATGTATTAGTACGAACTGCTAGGCAAAAGGAGAGGTAGTGATAGTGTAAAAGTCAAAACGAGTCAAGTAAAAAAGAACGGAGGAAGTATTGTCTAAGCTAACTAATTGTCAATGTCGCTTACCAATCATTTGTGTGGTATGATTAACTTCATTTATTCATAAAGATAACACCGTTTTGCCAAAAGTAACCCAAATTCATTATATGAGGAATATCAATTAACTAATTTACCCAAAAAAAAAAAAAGTAATCTCATTTGTTCATTCAAGTAATCCTTATTATTTAGTTTTGACTAATAAATTAATAATTTCACTTATCTATGAGAGTAACCCACTAACCCTATTTTTCAATTGGAGTGTAACCTACACCCTTTAAAATAATCCCATTTTCTCATCATTATAAACCTTATTACGGAGTATTTAATTATACCTTATGTGTGAAGTAGTCACACCATGTGGCTAGCATATAAGTATTATCTAAAAAAAGATAAAATAGGATAAAAACAAAAAGACCTAACAGAGATAAAAAAATAAAAAAATAAAAAAATAAAAAGAAGAAGAAGGTGATCATTGGGCGGGCCGAGGCCAAAGCCTTAAAAATTAGCCCATCAAGTTGGGCCGGTCCAAAGTGCGGGGCGAAAATGCTTGCCCAAACCCGGAATTTTTGACTGGGCCAAGCAAAAAAAAACAACTAAAAATGTGTAAAATGCATGTCCAAGGCCCTTCTAAAAAAATTAATTTCAGGGCGGGCCGAACCTTTCATGGCCATAACCTGCCCAAAATCAGGCCGGGTCGAGCCGGGCCTATGTTGATCAGGTCTAAGATGAAAAGATTACCAAGGCAATCAAAGTGGCAATGTTGCTTTAGTAGATGAATGTGGTAACATAGATTGAAAACCAAAGTACGTAGGTTCAAGGTGCGTTTTATTTCCTTGATTTCTACTTATTTGAACTTATTTATCTTTTTTATTTTTTAAGTTCTTAACTTAGCAAAACTTTTAGTTGTGAAATTTAGCTTGGGTAACCCTTACTATTTTCTATTTGTGAAAAATAAAAAATACGGAGTAAAAAAAATGAATTGATCAGGGCCACAGTCCAAAAAGAAGCCAATCAAAGCCCAAACTTCTTAGCATTCTTAGAGGCCACATGGAAAATAAGTAACATATCACATTTGGGGTTTGAGTTCAACATTATCTCCTCAAATTTCTCCACTTGATCAAACATACCAGATACCACTACCCTACGTACTTGTCCACCTTACTCGTTTGATCAAACTCCAAAAGCAGCCCATCATGTAACATACGATACTGGATGTCAAGCCCATTGGGCCTATCATGGGCTAGAGAAAAGATATGATCCTGTGAGTGGTGACTCTATGCTCGTTGCCGTTGGTGAAGGAACTCAAAAGGTCAAGTAGGTGATAGTAGGGGTGAGCATAACAGGGTATCAGTTAAATTTTCTGGAAGCGGAATTAGAACCTGTTGTAATAGGTTTTGGTTCTGGTTCGGTTCCTCAAAATGAGAATCAAAACCTGTTTAACAGGTTCCTGAAAAATAGGAACCGGAACCTGCAAGTTCAGGTTCCGGTTTTGATTCATGGTACCTCGTCTTTTACTATATTTCGTACTTTTTGGGTCATAAATTTATAATTCTTACAGTTTGCAAATACAACAAACCAAAAATAGTTGTTTACCAAATTTAATACTGCTCCCACTGGCCCAAGTTACTTACAACATTTTGACTGGACACGCTTGTCGATGCACATGTTTGACCGTCAATATCTTTTATTTTAAACTTATATAAGCTATAAAAAAATTATAATAAGAAACTATACATTAAAATAGACCTAACAACATCTTACATTATTACATTGGCTTTCACATAATAGTTAAAAAAGATGGTCAAAGTGAGATTTGTGAATAGTGCAAAAAGTCAAAATGTTGCGAGTAATTTGGGACGGAGGGAGTACATACTAGGGTATATAGTTATAACAATTAATTTTATTTATATTTAGTAAAATTGGGCTTAAATTGATATATGATTTGGGTTTAAGTAATAATGTTATTAGGTTACATGGTACCCTATAGGTTTCCATTCCTAAAAAATCGAAAACCTGAACCAGAACCTGTTGCAGCAGGAAGCAGGTTCTCTATTTTATTACCCCAAACTGAAACCTCTTGTACAGGTTCCGACTACGACTATTTCTAACAAGTTCCGATTCAGATTACCCTGAATTTTTGCTCACCCGTAGTTGATAGGGACTCATAGGGTATTTTGTTAATAAAAATACCTATACTTCAAATTGGAGGGCTGATCAAAAACAATTGGCATCAATAAACTACCTAGACTTAAATCAAGGGGCGTTCACCATGCACGCATTTTAATGCTGCTTTAGCAATTATGTACTTCCATCTTATCTTTGCCAAAATCAAACTCTCATTTTGTTACCACCACAAACATGTCTTATCTTACTTCATTATTTCATCTGTTTCTTCCAAATCCTATTCATACTTTCGTAGCGTGTAAGTGTGTTATATTCGTTGTATAAATCACTTACTGTACTTTGTTGCTAAAAAATGTCACAAAGATAAGAAATGTAAATTTCCGATATTTCTTAATTTAAGCGAGTCTAATTATTAAATTGGAGTGTGTTATATTAGCTATATATTTCCTCCGTTCCTAATTAGATGACACGTTTCTTTTATCACGTTTGTCAACGCACAATTTTAACGATTTATATCTCCCATTATCAACATTGTAAAATTATAAAAAGTGAATATTAAAAAAATATATATTAAGGCGATTCAAACAAGATCTCACATGATAATATTTTATCGTAGCTACAAATCACAAAAGCTAGTCAAAGTGTTGTTTGTGAATAGTGCAAAAGTCAAACCGTGTCATCTAAAAAGGAACGGAGGAAATATATAATTTACATATTTTGAACTAGTTAGCCATGGTCACTTAATAATTAGACTTACTTAGATTAAGATTAAAATTTCACTCGTAAACTATGAAATTACTCACTTAACCCTAATTGTTCTACCTTTGTTATTTTTGTATTTCTCCCCGATAAATATTATTGGGAAAGTCAACAATTTACAAAAACCCTTATGAAAAAAAAAAAACAGAGTGCACCACGGGCCGCGTTTTATGTACATGGGAGTGTCGTTTTGTTCTGGGTGTACCATGCTCATGGTACACCCGGATGTACGGATCAGGCATTATAGAATTAGAATTAACTAACATTGTAAATATATAGACACATAAAGAAATTGTATGTATAGATTTTGATTTTTTTTTTTTTTTTTTTTAGTCTTTATTTTTCCTTTGGTTTTAGTCATCCAAGTAATTCATTTTTCCATTCATATGAACCTAGCCAACCAAAATGATTGGGAAATGATTTTTTTTTTTTTTTTTTGGTGTTCCACCAGGTTCACCCTTTGCGCTAATTTGGATTCTGGGCTCAGTTTTGGGTAGTTAGGTTCCACTCCCCTCCCAATTGTTGTTGCGGGGAATCGAACACGCGGTCCTCCTTACCAAGTGTAGCCCCAATAACCACTACACCAACAGCCTATTGGTATTGAGAAATGATTTAAGCACAACAAAAAATTGATATTGGCACATGCCACGTGAGAAAGAGCATTGAAATTTATGCTCTCACAATGAGTGTGCCAAAATCAATTTTGGTGTGCTTAAATTATTTTCTAAATAAGTGACAAGTTGGTTTTATTTTCTTCTCAACCAAACAATCACTAAAATGTGTTTAGTTAAACGAGAGTGACAATCAAACCCTAAAGCACATATTAGTAGTTTAGTGCGTACTGGTTGATCACTACTTATGAGTGTCTCCACAAGAGGCCAAGATAGAATTTTGTGATGTCAATTTAATTGCTTAAATTCTTGCAAAATAGCCATATAATATTTTAATTATGGAGTGAAATAGGACACGTAAGTACATTACTAAGCGATCACCTTGCACATTATATATTGCGATCGACACTAAAGTATAGTAAGCCATTAAAGCTCTATCTCCTCATCTTATTTTCAATTATTTTCTCAGAAAATAATGGAAAATAAATTTAAGTTGGGAAATTCTCAAATAAGTCCCATTAAAATCTCCTAAAATATATTACTCGTAATAAGGTTCAAGGTCCAACAAGTCCAATAAAGTTTGACTCACCTGGTGCTATTATATGTGGTTGAAAATAAATACTCCGTAATATTCTTTTTACCCATATTTTTTATAAACTCCAGAAGAATCGAAACTATAAATTAGAAAATTGAAATAATATTACAAAATGATCCCAAAAAAAACCAAATCATTGGTGTACAATTTTCCTCAAGACATAAAAAATTGCATGATACACAAAATCTACATTCAACAGTACCTTAAAAAGAGGATCAGATAAAAAAGAAATGGATAGAATTACTCTACTCGTGTCCATTTTATCGAAACCCAATTATTTTTTTTTCGAAACTGACATCTATCCAAGTCAGCCACACGCACTTTCAGCCCTTCTATGCCATCAACTTTCTCAAATAGCTGCCAAAAACTCCTCTAAATAAATAAAAACATCAACCTAATTTTTTTAAAAAAAATTTCCACATAATATCTTACTCATAAATTAGTTGTCATCTTTATTATCATCATTCATATCCTCAATTATTAATATTTTTATTTTTTTTTCCAAAAAAAAAACTTGGATAAGCCTATACTTATACCCACCAACTTTTGGACCCCTTCTTCATCTTCAACCTTCAAAATTTCTCTCTTTTGCTTACTTTGACACTTTCTACCACAAAATTTGAATTGAATTTTTTTTTTTCTACCTAATCTCTTTTTAATTTTTCTGATCTTTGAAATTTGAAGGTTGGAAAAAAAAGTCAAAAAAAAGTTTAAGAGAACTTTAATTTGTTCGATTCTAGCACTTTTTGATCCAAAAGTTGAAGTGGGTCTAACTTTAAAAGACCACAAAACCCCATAAAAAAAATACCCAACCTTTTATTTTTCTTACATTCTTAAAAAAAAAATAAAATAAAAAATGGCATCTTCTTCTTGTTCTTTGAAACATGGAATCTCTGTTTCTGGGTTTATTGAAAAAACCATTGTTAAACCCAAAACCACTGAACAATTCCCTCAAAATTATGACTTTAAAACCACCCAACAACAATTTCCAGATTTGAACTGCCAATTTCTGGGACAATCCCTTATTGTCTCAGATCAGAAGAATTTACCAATCTCAACTACCAAATTCTCTGTTCAGGTATTCATATTCCCCTGTTTTAAATGTTGAGGTGAAATTTTTGTAATTTAAGATAATGGGTTTTTATTAATTTGAAATTAGGATTAATGGGTGTTTTTTTATTTTTGTGAATTAATTTCAGGCACAAGCATCATATTGTGTGAGCAAAGCAATGAGATGGTGGGAAAAGACATTGAAGCCTAATATGATAGAGATCCGTTCAGCTCAACACCTTGATGATGAACTTAAGAATGCTTTTGATAATCTTGTTATTGTTGATTTTTATTCTCCTGGTTGTGGTGGTTGCAAGTCCCTTCATCCCAAGGTACTTTATTCATTTATATTCGTCAGACTACCTCCGTTTCTAAATGTTCTTAGCGTTAACGTTTACGGTTAATACGGACTGTGGTGTGTCACCAAGTATTAAAAGGACTTTTAGGAATGGATAATGTATTTGCTTAATCATTCATGATAATTATTGATAAAAAATGTTAATTGTGTTGTTAATTTTTTCAGATTTGTCAGCTGGCTGAGTCAAACCCAGATGCAATTTTCCTGAAGGTCAATTATGAGGAGCTGAAACCAATGTGCCATGCTTTGAATATACATGTTTTGCCCTTTTTTAGGTTTTACCGTGGTGCAGAAGGCCGTGTTTGTAGCTTCAGTTGTACAATATCAACAGTAAGACATTTTAACCCTTGTTAATTTAATTACTTTAATTGAATTTATTTGATTGGGAGTTTTTTAATTTATTGGTTTTATGTTACTAATTAATTGCAAATGCTATTAATTTGCAGATTAAGAAGTTTAAAGATGCATTAGCAAAACACAATACAGAAAGAAGTTGTAGCCTGGGAGAAGCTAAGGGGCTAGAGGAATCTGAGATGATTAAATTGGCATCAATGGGTCAATTATCCCTCGATTCGCGTGTACCGACATCGATTAAGGATGGATTATTAGAAGAATTGATGTTAGAGAAGATGGATTTCTCTAACTCAAAGAATGTGACTGCAAATAATGCAATGTTGGTTAGCTGATTTAGGTTAACATGAAATGTTGTTAGCCTAAAGTTTATTTCTTTAGTTTAGGGACGTAAATATTTAATTTGGTGGGTTTGATACAAGGTTAAGGGGGGTTCTGGGTTTTTTTTTTTTAATTAATCCCTTGTTAATTTTAGATTGATTGAAATTATGTCATTTTTTATAATGTAATTTATGATCTGGATGAAATGGGAAAAAAAAAATTCAGATCCCCAAGATCATACAGTATTTCAGATACCAGACTGTCTTAATCCCTAACCAACTCTTGGTTGATGATTACTGCCATACTTCATGATTTTTGGATAATGCATTTTCCATACTTTTTCCCTTATCCGTTTTCAATGATGTACATCAGTTTAAGGGTCCATCTAAAGCATGGAAAAGTTGGTGCAATAATAATAATAATAATAATAATAATAATAATAATAATAATAATAATAATACGGAGTAATATAAGTTTGACATAGAACGTAACAACATAATTTAGTGAAGAAAGCACATTAAGATGAGGCAAGTCCTAACGTAATTTAGTGAAGAAAGCACATTAAGATGAGGTAAGTCCTAACGTAATTTAGTGAAGAAAGCACACCAAGATGGGGTAAGTTCTAACGTAATTTAATGAAGAAAGCACACCAAGATGAGACTAAGTCCTAAAATCACTCCACTGTAGATGTTTTAAGAGAATAATATAGTGTTAAGGTCGAATTCGATTTAACTAACAAGGATTAAAATGCGATGCCGAATTGAAATAAGTACTTTGTCATTTGTAATTATGGTAGTTGCTGTCTTGCTGAGTATATATGGCACATTGGCACATGATATACTAATTATAAAGTGGCTGTTCCCGAGTGGATACTACTTACTATTGGCGTTTTCTTGAAAAATAAGTGATTTCCTCTTACCCTTTCGAAAATCTTTAGTATAGAGTTGAATACAATTATACAAGTCTACAAGAGAATAACATTAGTGCCTAAAATAAAATAAGAGAATGGTATCATAGAAGATTTGAAGCACCTTCACAAACAAGTGGCAGAAGTAGATCGACAAATCTATTCTTGTAGTGTCTTAAGAGTTATGACAGAATACTCCTTCAATATACTTCGTCTTTATTTATTTATTTTTAATATATATAATTGATAATCGATTTAACATTAACTAAACTTTAATACGGAGTAACAAAATGATAACAAAATGTAATACAATGTTTTTTTAAAAAAGAATTGTGCAAAAGGATTATAAATATTGTACGTACTACGTATCTATTATTTCATCGGATATTAAAAAAATTTCCAATAATTTATACTTCTATATATCATAATTATAGTGATTCTATTACATTTCAAAATATATATTTTTTTATTATTAAAGCAATCACGAAACAAGTCTTAAAATAATTTGAGCTGTTGATTGATCGCATGCATGGAAATGTGTGTATTTGTTTATATCATCTTATAATGAACCCTTTACAAAAATTCTGAAGTAGTCGAGTCACTTGTTATACTCCCTCCATCCCTAAATATAATTCTCATTTAATTTATTTGGGTCAAGCTTTGAAAACTTTTACCATAAATTCCCGTTATTTTATAAAAGATTATATGTTCATGTGAGATCTTGTTAAATCTGTCACATTGTATATTTTATTAATATCAAGTTTTTATAAATTTTACGCATATGAAAATAGGGATATAAACATTTTAAAACACGTCTTGAAAACTTTGACCATAAATTCCCGTTAATTTATAAGAGATTATATGTTCATGTGAGATCTTGTTGGATTCGTCACGTTGTATATTTTATATCAAATTTTTATAAATTTTACACATGAAAATAGATATATAGACGTTTTAAGACACGTCTTAGAGACCGTAAAAAGTTAAACGAAAACTATATTTAGGGACGAAGGCCAGAGGAAGTATGTATTATAGGCTTCTAGAAAAGTAGGCAATACTCATGACTTCATGAGTCATGGTCTAATGGATCCTCATGTTTCATATATACAAGTAGTTCATCAGATTCAAACATTTAAGAGTGTGTTTGGTAAGTGGGAATTAAGGGTGGGATTGGGAATTTTAATCCCAATCTACGGTAATTCCCATGTTTGGTTCATCGGAATGGGAAAATAAAGGAGGAAGGGGAATGGGAATGGGAATAAAATGCTTCTATTCCCATCATTTTATTACCTAGGGGGAGTAGGTAATAGAGATGAGAATTGAAAACAAGTAATGAATTGACTAAAATGCCATTAATGAAATAGAAAATGGAATGATTTTTGCAAGTGTGTTTTCGTAATTGTAAAATGTTATTTCCTATCTATTCCCATCTCTTTCCAAACAAGACATTGGACATATTTTTATGAATTCCCACCTTCTAACTCCCATTCCCATTTTCATTCCTATCCTATAATCTCCAAATTCTCATTTCCACTTGTCAAACACCCCATAAGTAGTTTTTAGCCTTGAGCGTTATCTCAAGTTTTTACATGAACCACAATTATTGTGACCTTAAACTTATCTATCTTAATTTTTTTTAATTAATTTTTCTTTACAATATTATTAATATTACATAATTGTTCAACGTTAAAATAATAATGTTCAAGACTTATGGTGATCATATATGTTACACTTTTTTTAAAAAGGAAAATATATGTTACATCTCGTATTATTTATTACTATAGATAAATATGAACGACTTTGAATGGGTTAAAGAGAATGTCATGTGACAAATATTTTTTTTTTTTTTTTTTTTGTAAAGATGTGACAAATAAAGTTTTAATATACTATTATAAATAGATTTAATTTACATTTTACTGTTCTATCCTATGTACTAAAAATAAAGAATTTAAGTACACTAATAGTAAATATTTTAAGTATAATACGTAGAAGAAACATGTTCACATACACACAGGTTTTTTTTTTTTTTTCTTTTTTCTTTTTAAGGAAGTAAGAAACATGGAGTAAAGAGGTACAACAACGTAAAAAGATTCTAATTAATATTTCCAAATACCCTAAATAATAAGAGTTTTTATTAAGCATGAAATGAAATGACAATCTTAATGTACTAGATATTTAGACTTTGATTATGGTTAACAAGTGTATGTAGATCAAATTAACACATAAAAGAACCTTTTATAGAACGTTTAAAATGAGATATAAATCAAGCATCCAATGCATTATGCATAAAGAATTATATAGGCTTTATTTGGCAAATGGCAGTTGGTTGTTGGCGGTTGATTGGTTCACTTGACTTGTTTGACCAGCTGCAATATTTGGCTATTTATAATGGCTTTTGAAATTGGTTGTTTAAGCTGACTATTTATAAAAGTGTTAGGTAAATTTAGTTGGTGGCTGTTGACTGTTTAATAGATAATTTGTGAGCCAACAAGTCAAAAGCCAACAAAAAAAAGCTACTCATAGCAACTTTTTATTTTGGCTTAAAAGCCAGTTTTTTCGCTGAATAAAAAGTCAATTACCAAACACTTTTTTATTTGCTATTTGACCACATAGAAAAAGCAAAAGCTAAAAGTTAACCAAAAAGCCATTTACCAAACATGAACATAGTGAGGAATAATGCAACAAGTAGTCCAAATATGAGGCTGCCTATAACTCTGAAAGATCACCGACTACCTAACACTATACGTCAATGTTCCAAATATTGACTGCGTTGGCCGTTGAGGGAATCAAAGCTTGGTCGACATGAATTATCATGATGAATAAAATGGAAAGATGCATTGCATGGACCGCCTTTTTGTTTCAATCTTTCTTTAAAAATTGAATCTAATATTTTTCACATTTAAAACTTCCTCTGTTTTTCAGTTGTACACTTCCCTATTTAGAAAATTGTTAATTAATTGCAACACTTTTTATTTTTGATCGTAAACCAAAAAAAAAAAAATATCGAATAAATTGAAATCAATTCATGTACAAGTAGATTTTTGCCCTTCGGATGCGTAGCAAGTGGTATACACCCTACTCCAATTTGACAAATAACATAAGACAAGTGGGATCACGTAAAAAAGGGATTAACATAAGTTTTTGGTGTACAAAGAGTCATAAAAGATATTTATATGTAGATAGGATTTGACCTCAAGTCTTAGATTTCACTCTCAAAATTTTAACTAACTAAGCTAGTTGGCATCTACAAAATAGAGTATATTAATGTATTATTTATATTATATGCAGACTATTAAATTAATTAAAGATTTGAATGGTATTTAAGACCTGAAATCAAATATCATCTATTGGTATTGATCTGCAATCTGCGAATGACAAAGATTAACGATAACAAAAACAAAACAAAAAAATTTAAAACTATCATCAATCATGTATAGCCCAAACCCACGTGCTTTGAGCATTTTAATGAAAGAGAGCGAGTGAGGACAAAGTTATGTAGCAGAGAGATGCGGCGGTTTGCTAGGGTTGTTCTTAGATAAATCCAATAGAACATAGATTATTTTGGGGTTCATATTCTGGATATATTTTATCCTTTCTTATAATTCTTATTCGTATTAAGACACTGAAACCACTTAATTACATAATTATGATTTGGCTTTCGAATCATTGCGATGGATTAGGAAATCAAGAATCCTCCATTGCATGTCGTCACACTCTCCACATTTTTTTTTTTTTTTTTTTTTTTTTTTTGTGTCGAAGGCTTCCACTTGATTTATCTCATTTATTGTATATTTTGTTTTTTAAAAGAATCACAAATTCTTATATGTGGCTGACCAAACCGTGTGACTAGTAATTATGGGGTTACTTCGTTAGTGTTATAGGGGTTGTTTCGTCAAGGTTATAAGGGTTATTGGTCAATGTTACAAGGGTTACTCGGTCAGTATTACAACGATTATTCAGTCAGTGTTATAGAGGTTACTTTGTTCTTTTACAAATGGTCACATGGCGTGACCAGCCGCACACAGTACAAGATGCGGTAGAAAGAAATTTATTGGACCTTGATTGAAATACATTCGGGTGCGTGCAAGGTACACTCAATGGTATTTTTGCCTCATTATTTATTTATTTATTGTATCAAATGAGCAAAAACACACCATTGGATACACCTACCTCTATGTGCACCTGGGTGTATATGGTTTTGGACCTTGTTGGTTTAACTAAATAAATTAATTAAGCCGAATTGGTTGCAAATAGAGTAATAACCTAATACTTTCCTTGTTTATCAATGCGACAATGTATGCATGTATTATTTTGACTTTTTTATACGAAGTATATTGTATATATTGTATATAACTAGATGAAACCAGTGCGATGCACGGTTTGTTTGTGTTTTTT